TCTTGATATTATTAATTTCAATTGTAGATGAGCTACCATAAATCTTAGAAAAAAATACTCCAACAACTTTAATTTGTAGCTTGAATCTAAAATAATAACAATATTATTATATTAATTAATATATATTTATATATATATATAATTGTTATATTAATATATATATATATATATATATTATATATATATATATATTTAAAATATTGTGGGGCGGGGCAGGTTAGATATCATAGTACTGGTACTTGCACCCGCACCTACTAAATTTTGTGGATTTATACCCGCCCGTACCCATTCTCATATAAGCGGATATTTACCTGCCTTCGTAAGAGGATATTTTTGCAGGTGCTCGTAGGACTTGAGTCTATTTTATCATCTTTAAGTTATGTGGTTGCCAATTTGATAACACACGAATTAAAGGATCATTGAGAAAAAGAAATTTAATTAAATAAAAGGTATTTTGTAAATATTATATTTAGATCACAATAAATGAACTTTTTTTTATCCATGAAGAGGGTGAGAATTAAAGATGCACCTTTTCTTAATTTCATTTATTTCGCAATCTTATTTGATCCAAGCCATTTAGTGTTGGTTTGTTTTAAAAGGTTCCAAGCCATTTGTTTCAAAAGGGTTTAAGAATGTATATCACATTGGACCACAGAGCTCCAGAAGCCCAAAAGAGGAGATCTTGGTCAAAGTCAATGGTTAAAACTTTTAATGATAAAGTCAAAGTCAAGGTAAGCAAATTGCCGAAATCCTCAATTTAAAGTGATTCTAAATTATAAAATTTCCAGTCACAAAATTAAAATCGCAAATCTGAAATTAAAAACTAATTAATAATCCTAGTCAAATCTTCAGTAAAGTAAAATGAAATAAAAGTTATTATTTTTATTATTAAATATATTTCCATGGTATACAAAAAGGAGATATTATTCCATTTTGTTTCACCTTTTTAAAATAATAAAATAAAATTGTAAGATTTGATAATTTCATTTTACCTCCTTTCATTCTATATATTTCTATCACTTTATGCATATTAAACCTAAAATATATACAATAATAAATAAGATGTTACTTCCTGATTCGATAATAAAAAATAAATATAAAGTGAACTCATATATATATATATATAT